GCAGAAGCAACCATGCTGAACAAAAAAGGGAACTAAGAAAGATGATTTTGGGGAATGTCAAGGGAAACATTATTAAGGCATATGTATTCAATCGAATTCGCCAAAGCTCTAGTAGAATAAATCGTAAGTTGGTTTCTCACATTCACACGCGTGATGAAAACAGCACTTTCAATATAACACAAACCCACATCAAGATCATATGGAAGAATATGCATATAAACACAACCAAAATCAAGAATTAACAATAACTAAATAAAAAAAAAAAGGCAAACCAAGAATTTGCCAAGACCTTGGTTGTAAATCAGCAGAAAATCCAAATATCTCCTCAGATGGATCATATCCCAACTGCAAACCACCAATCAAACAATGATATTAACTACAAATTAAAGAGAGAGATAAAATCAGTCATTGGTGAATACTAGTAAATATTTAGAAAACTCGAAAAAAAGTTTCTTAATTTATTTATTTTTCTCAAAGGTCAATTCCACCAGGGCCCAAGACTTTCGTGTGGCGCCAATATCCTCAACCTAATGTGCCCCTCGTCCCACCCCCACATATGTCTATCCTCCTTCAGTGTGTGTGAAAGAAGAAATTACCTGGTATGGTTTGGAAGGCACAGAATCATCATCCTGGTTGAATGAGAAGGAGACAGGAGAGGGAATGAAGCTGAGGTTCCTCTTGAAATGTGGTAATATCCAATAGCGAAGGCTCCTGTGATTGTGCCTCCATTGATGGACCATCACTCGGAGAGACAATGAGCATATTGAAGACATTTCTACACTAGTAAGAAAATGGAGACTGATAGAAAAAGATAGGATTTCTTGGATTTTGTAGATCCTGTGGACGCACTGACGCCAAAATTTTTGTGGGGCCTTCCCTTCTTTTTCATCCTCATAGGTGTCAATGAGCCGAGTCGAGCCGACTCGACTCATACTCGCACGAGCCGAGTTCGTGGCTCGTAAGCCCGGCTCGTTTTCTTTTGGGCGAGCTCGGGCACGAGCTCGTGCCCGAGCTCGCCCAAGACAAGCGGCTCGGCGAGCCGAGCTTTAAGCTCCGCTAGCCTTTTTTTTTTTTTATTACGATACTACAATTAAATTTTAAATTCAAAAAATATA